CCCAATTGGAGATTCCGGTTATCCCAATGGGGATTCCCTCCAATTCCCCCTTCATGCATTCTCTATCACCTTGCCATGTACTTATAGAGCCTTGGGCTCCTTACCTAATCAATCATTTCAACTCTATTTCTTACATGGTATCAGAGCGACCTATCCGCACACGCGGATCAAGGTCCTAATCTGAACGTGCCCGCGCTACGCGCACTTCATCGTCGCGACATTCGTTTCGAGTCGTCGGAATTTCGACGTGCTCCACTCTGCAGTCGCGCCTCTCATCGTCGACCCCCTTCGCGCTCGACCTCGTTGAATTTTTCATCTCTGAAGCGTTCACGCTTCTCGTCGTCGATTTCCTCCTCGGTTCTCCTTGGTCGAATCTCAATTTCGACCATCTCTTAAAACTCGTTCTCGAGTTTCCCCTCAGACCCCGCCAGAATAGGCGAACTCCCCTCGCGAAATTGCCTCCACGAACGTCTCGCGTCAAGCAAGAGCAGGTACACAGGTTGAAGCGGAGCGGAGCTGGTTGTGGAGCTGGTTGCGGAGCTGGTTGCGGAGCTGGTTGCGGAGCTGTGTAGCTGCGGGACAGGGCCTGGGGGTGTGTGGGGGGGTGTGTGGGTCCGGGGTTAGACATAGGCTCAGATTCAGTTTCAAGTTGGCGTTTTAACGAATTTTCGCCGACGCCATTTCCTACTTAGCGGCATTTTGATAAAGCCGTCAGAGTGATTTTCAGCAATTCTCGTCGACCAATTTCCAGAAGTGCCGCGCTGCACACCGACAATGGCTTACTCAACCACTTCACTCGCCAACCCGATCCCGCTCCTTCGTCTCGAGCTGGACGGTACATGCTCCAACTACAAGGCTTGTCGCTATGGTGTCGACAAGCACCTCCTCAGTCGCGAGGTGAAGGGGCTCGAGCTCACCGACGTCCTTCTCAACATCGGTGACGGCAAAGAGCCTCCTAAACCCGAAAGGTCCGCCGATCCAGCTAAGCATTTTATGCTGCTGCACTGCTCAAGTACAAGAATTGGGAGAAGGCCCATGGTGCGGTCATTAGTGTCTTCATGGGCACCACTCCTCCCGAACTCGTCGAAACCTACCACAACTACCCGTCTGCCAACGCCATTTGGCTCTACCTCGAGGATCGCTTCCTCAACAAGACTGCAGTGGGAGTTGCTATACTCATCCCCAGCATGTTCCAAGTGCGGCTCGAGGACTCGCCAGGCATGGCGGACTATGTCACCAAGGTGCAGTCCATTCGTGGTGAACTCAAACAGTTGGGGATAGTCTTCCCCGAGCAAGCTCCTGCAGCCGCTCTCCTAGTCGGCCTCACTCCGGCATACGAAGTCACACGCAAGATGCTCTTGGGCCTTGCTCCTGCAGACCTCACATTTGCCAAGGTCTCATCCGCGCTCCTTTCTGCCGAAAAGGACAACAGCGCTCAAGCCAAGGCCAATGCAATCCGCGCTCCCGTGCCTCAAGCCTATGCCGCTTCGGCGCCATTCCAGCGCAACCGCTTCCCCCCATGTCCCTATGTCATCAAGCGCGGCCCTTGTGCCGGCCAGGTGTGTGGCGGCACCAACCACGCCCTTGCCTCCTGCTTCAAGAAAAAGGATGACGATTGGTATGCCGTCAATGGGACCGCCTCGAAGCCGCCAAGCTGGATGGTCAATCGTGCTCCTCGCAAGGTCAATCAAGTCGAAGCGGAGGAATCCGTGCAGGCTGCTGTAGCTCCCACTGCTGATGTGCGCTCCACATGTTGTTCCCTGGCACTGCCATGATTAATGAGACAATTTCGCCGTGTCCTGGCTCACAAAGCACCTCAGCCACAATAGAGTTCACCCTCGACAGTGGGGCCACTCACACGGTTCTCAAGGAAGAACACTCCTTCAAGCCATACGAGACACCAATCCGTCTACTAGGAGCAGACTCCAGTTTCACAACAAACGCCAAGGGCTTCGCCCACAGAACCGAGGGCGCCAAAAGCTGGGCACGGAACTGTGGAGAAGCCCTTGGCGTGTGTTGTGAAACAGGAGTGTGCTCCTAGTAAATGGATTGGTGTCTCGTATGGCTTGAAGGAATGTTCTTCCTTGAGAACCGTGTGAGTGGCCCCACTGTCGAGGGTGAACTCTATTGTGGCTGAGGTGCTTTGTGAGCCGGGACACGGCGAAATTGTCTCATTAATCATGGCAGTGCCAGGGAACAACATGTGGAGGCGCACATCAGCAGTGGGAGCTACAGCAGCCTGCACGGATTCCTGCGCTTCGACTTGATTGACCTTGCGAGGAGCACGATTGACCATCCAGCTTGGCGGCTTCAAGGCGGTCCCATTGACGGCATTCATCCTTTTTCTTGAAGCAGGAGGCAAGGGCATGGTTGGTGCCGCCACACACCTGGCCGGCACAAGGGCCGCGCTTGATGACATAGGGACACGGGGGGAAGCGGTTGCGCTGGAATGGCGCCGAAGCGGCATAGGCTTGAGGCACGGGAGCGCGGATTGCATTGGCCTTGGCTTGAGCGCTGTTGTCCTTTTCGGCAGAAAGGAGCGCGGATGAGACCTTGGCAAATGTGAGGTCTGCAGGAGCAAGGCCCAAGAGCATCTTGCGTGTGACTTCGTATGCCGGAGTGAGGCCGACTAGGAGAGCGGCTGCAGGAGCTTGCTCGGGGAAGACTATCCCCAACTGTTTGAGTTCACCATGAATGGACTGCACCTTGGTGACATAGTCCTCCATGCCTGGCGAGTCCTCGAGCCGCACTTGGAACATGCTGGGGATGAGTATAGCAACTCCCACTGCAGTCTTGTTGAGGAAGCGATCCTCGAGGTAGAGCCAAATGGCGTTGGCAGACGGGTAGTTGTGGTAGGTTTCGACGAGTTCGGGAGGAGTGGTGCCCATGAAGACACTAATGACCGCACCATCGGCCTTCTCCCGATTCTTGTACTTGAGCAGTGCAGCAGCATAAACTGCTTCGACGGCGGCATTAGCTGGATCGGCACACCTCTCGGGTTTAGGAGGCTCTTTGCCGTCACCGATGTTGAGAAGGACGTCGGTGAGCTCGAGCCCCTTCACCTCGCGACTGAGGAGGTGCTTGTCGATACCATAGCGCCAAGCCTTGTAGTTGGAGCATGTGCCGTCCGGCTCGAGACGAAGGAGCGGGATCGGGTTGGCGAGTGAAGTGGTTGAGTATGCCATTGTCGGTGTGCAGCACGGCACTTCTGGAAATTGGTCGACGAGAATTGCTGAAAATCACTCTGACGGCTTTATCAAAATGCCGCTAAGTAGGAAATGGCGTCGGCAAAAATTCGTTAAAACGCCGACTTGAAACTGAATCTGAGCCTATGTCTAACCCCGGACCCACACACCCCCCCACACACCCCCAGGCCCTGTCCCGCAGCTACACAGCTCCGCAACCAGCTCCGCAACCAGCTCCGCATCCAGCTCCGCTCCGCTTCAACCTGTGTACCTGCTCTTGCTTGACGCAAGACGTTCGTGGAGGCGATTTCGCGAGGGGAGTTCGCCTATTCTGGCGGGGTCTGAGGGGAAACTCGAGAACGAGTTTTAAGAGATGGTCGAAATTGAGATTCGACCAAGGAGAACCGAGGAGGAAATCGACGACGAGAAGCGTGAACGCTTCAGAGATGAGAAATTCAACGAGGTCGAGCGCGAAGGCGGTCGACGATGAGAGGCGCGACTGCAGAGTGGAGCACGTCGAAATTCCGACGACTCGAAACGAATGTCGCGACGATGAAGTGCGCGCATCGCGGGCACGTTCAGATTAGGACCTTGATCTGCGTGTATGGATCGGTCGCTCTGATACCATGTAAGAAATAGAGTTGAAATGATTGATTACGTAAGGAGCCCAAGGCTCTATAAGTACATGGCAAGGTGAGAGTGAATGGATGAAGAGGGAATTGAAGGGAATCCCCATTGGGATCTCCGGAATCTCCAATTGGGTAATTGGAGATTGGGGGGATCACAATTGGGTGAGGTTGGGATTTGTGAGTACACCCCAACCCACTAGAAGATTCACAACCTAAACTAGGATATAAAAGTACAAATACAAAAATGGTATTTGCAGTCTATTTGTTACAGCTAGTAGTTCCAACAAAATACTGAGACTTATGCATGAAGCAGGGCATATTGCGACAGTCCTGACAGCCCCGTCACGCCCCCTGTCTTCCGCAATCGTCCCTCCTGATATTCCCCCACCCCGTCCAATCCAACTGGCGTCCCTCTCCACCATCGCCACCTCCCCCTCCTCCACCTTCCGTGCTCCGTCCAGCCCTCCAGCCCTGCCGTCTCCCACCGCTGCTCGCTTCCCCCTTCCGTCCCTCCCTGCGCACACCCCCCCGGTCCCACCGTCGCTCCCGCTCATCCATTCCTCCGCATGCCGCAAAGCCCCCTACCACCCCACAGGCCACTCGCATTTCCGTTGCTGCCTCTCCTAGTGTTTCCTCGCTGTTCGAAGTTCCGCCCACGCGCATCACGCACTGTCGTCTCCTGGCAGCAATCACATGGCTCCCTGTTGCTTCCCAATCTGCATTGCCGCATGTTCCCACTTTCCTCTAATGCCCTCCCACATCGTGTGTGCGCCCGGTTGTTGACAGTGAAAGTTTATGCAGTTGACAGGTTGCGGGGTGCCATGCCCGCTGCACCACACGCCTCGTCAACTCACCCTCCTGCTGCCATGCCTTCTGCCACTCCCCCCAATCCGCCACCTCACCTCCACGCATTCCCACGCCATCCCTTTCCCCCCCTTCCGCCTTGCTTCGCCGCTTCTCCCCCCACCCTTTTCCACCCTCCTCTACCCCAAACTCCCAGTTTTCAACAGGGTGGGGCAGCAGCAGGAGGAGTGCAGGCGCAGGGATTTGAGTGGGAGGGTGCGAGGGCGGCGGGCATGTGAGGCGATGAGGGCGAGGCAATGACGTGAGGCGCATGGCATGCAAGCATGGTATGACTCTGCTGCCTGTTGTTCTCTCTGTTGGTTTCAACAGAATCTGATATCATCTCTTACTGCCTCTGCTTCCACTGTCTCCTTACCTTATCCCATCCCCCTCCCCCTTCCTATCCCCCTCCCCCTTGCCCTCCTCCTCCTCGTCCTCCTCCTCCTGCTCCTCCTCCTCCTGCTGCTGCTCCTCCTCCTCCTCCTCCTCCTCCTCCTCCTCCTCCTCTCCTCCTCCTCCTCCTCCTCCTCCTCCTCCTCCTCCTCCTCCTCCTCCTCCTCTTCCTCCTCCTCCTCCTCCTTCGACCCCCTCCGTGTGCCCCCCCCTGTTACGGCGCACATGATACGGAGGGAGCACGGAGGGATGGAGGGGGGGGAGCAAGAGGGAGAGGGGGAGAGAGATTGAGAGAAAGATGGGGGGAGGGAGGGAGAGGTATGGGGAGGCGTTTTCTAACCCCCAAGAGCACATGCTCCATATCCTCGCACCTGCTCTCACCACATCCCAAAGCCACCCTTCCATTCCTCATCGATCCCCTCTCCCCTTTCCACTCCTCCCCCCTTTGCCTCCACCTACACTTTCTTCATTTGAGGGGGAGCTGCCTTGTCAACGCGAGTGCGGGCGTTGTCTACCCGAGAGCGTGGGTGAGGGCTGTCTGACAAATGGCGGGATCCACGCGGGCTACCGAGGTGAATTCACTGGGAGTGAACCTGGTCCGAACAATCTTTGTACGTGAACAACCGCACTCACCACATCCCAAAATGACCCTTGTGTCTCACCTTTCCCCGTCTCCTTCCACCCAAACTTCCCCAGTTCACTTCTCCACCTATCTCCTTCCACCTAAACTTTCTTCATTCATGTCCAACTCCTCCACCTTCCCGCCCCCCACCCCCCGGCAATTTGTGTTAGAATATACCATGCTATGCTAGTTTTGTATATTGTGTTTACATCCCTAGTTGGGTGTACACCTGTGTTGGGGTGTCAATCTAACCCAATTGTGGTTGGAGCCCCCAAACACAAGGACCACAATTGTGGTCAACCACATTGGGAAGGATCCTCCCTCCCTTGTGATTGGTCCTAACCTCTCCTTCCCTTCCAACCTTCCCTTCCTAGCTCATCTCTCTCTTCCTATGTAATCCCTTTGCTTGATCAAGAAACTCGACATTTCTGTTTCTAACATGGTATCAGAGCAATAATGGCTCACGCCAACTTTTAATCCCGATCCTTCCCCACGCTTCCGCCCTGTCCCCTTCCGACGTGCACCTCATTGCCGTTCCCTCCATCGCCGCTGCTAGACTCCTAGCCGCCACCTCTCTTTCCCTTTACAACTAGTTTTCTGTTGGGTGGATTTTCAAACATCCCCAGTGCGCCAAACGCCATAGCTCGCTCGCTAGTTGACAAAATTGAGTGATTCGACTTGGAAATGAACACTCTTGGTGTCAGCTACAACGTCGTAAAATTTCAGACTGTTTCACTGCTTGGATTGTTGGATATCTCTTTCCGAAGTTCGCACACTTTCCTAGATGTGATCACGAAGTGCTACTGAAATTTCCACCAAGTCCTACTTTCATCAGCTAACTGCCATCTTTCCCCATCAGCTAACTGCCATCAGCTAGCAGCAGCAGCACTAGAAGGAGCAGCAGACGTAGCAGCAGCAGCAGCAGCAGCAGCAGCAGCAGCAGCAGCAGCAACAGCAGCAGCAGCAGCAGCAGCAGCAGCAGAAGAAGGAGCAGCAGATGCAGCAGCAGCAGCGGCAGCAGCAGCAGCAGCGGCAGCAGCAGCAGCAGCAGCAGCAGCAGCAACAGCAGCAGCAGCAGCAGCAGCAGCAGCAGCAGCAGCAGCAGCAGCAGCAGCAGCAGCAGCAGCAGCAGCAGCAGCAGTGGGAGCAGCAGCAGTAGCTACAGCCATCCCCATCCTCCCCTCCTCTTTGAGCCGACGCGGGTCCACCCACCGCCGCTCCCTCCCGGCCACCGCGGGTCCACCCGCCGTCGCCTTCCTCCCACTCCGTGTCACCAATGGCATCCTTTCCCCCTCCTGTCAACGTCTCGACCGTCGATCATTTGGTGCGCGCTGCCGACAACTCAGCAACCAACCGGTATTCCTTCGTCAGCAGCCTCCACCGCGTCCTCGGCAGTGCATATGTCCTGCCGTTCCGCCTCCTGGACATCATGCTTGGTCTCCCAGAGGGTGACCTTTGGGACCCGCCGCCTCACCCTGGCGATCCCCCCCCTCTCATTCCCCATCCCGGAGAGGAACCTCTGCCCCCCGTGGTACACGTTGGCACCAGCACTCGCGCTGCCACCGCTGAGGTTGAGCAGCTCTTTGTTACTCAGCGTCGTGAGTTCCTCATGCTCCATGCTGATTACCTGATCGCTTTGGAGGAACACGAGCGGTCAGCCACCCTCCGCAACCAGCATGCCGCTACCGCCGCCGCTTATGCCGCTGACTCTGCGCGATTTGCCGAGCGTCGTCGCGCTTGGCTCGAGGCGGACAGCCGTGCTACTGGTGCCCTTCTCCTTGCCATCCCGCCTGCGCTCATGCGCAACTTCCAGGCACGTCGCATCGGCTCCCGCCAGATCTGGCTCGAGCTTGAGGCGATGTTCGAACGCACCGACTTCGACGCTGTTGGGCCGCTCTTCAAGGAATACTTCAGCATCACGATCGAACATAGTGCTGGCGCCGTTGACTACACCAGCCGTCTCCTGGACCTTGCCTCCCGCCTAGAGGCTCGCCAGACTACTCTCCCCTCCAACCTCCAGATCTACCGTCTCCTCGAAGGCCTCTCCCCTCAGTATGAAGTGCGCGTCATCGCCTTCACTGAGGCTCAGCCCCGTGCCTCCCTTGACACTGTGGTCCAGTGGATCATTGACGCTGAGGCCCGCCTTCTCTCAACCCCCCCCTCCGGCTTGAACTCCACCGAGTCTCAAAACCCCCAGCTTGCAGTCGCACAGCCGCGTCGTGGAGGGCGCCCACGTGGCGGCCGCACCAACCCTCAGGGAGGGGGTGGAGGTGGCGGTTGTGGGGGCAACGGAGCCGGCGGCGGTGGTGGCGGGGTCGAGGGTGGCAGCAGTGGTGGTGGTGGTGGCAGTGGTGGCTCATCTGGTAGCCGTGGTGGCCGCCCCTGGCACTCTCCCCCCATGTTGCTATCTTCGCCGTTTTGGTCCCAGGGCGGGTGAGCGCTGCACCCAAACCAACCATCCCCCAACGACCTGCTTCAAGGCGTATGATGACGCCTGGTTCGAGCGCGGCAACATTGGCACACCCCCACGCTGGTCTGCCATGGATCCCCGCCCCTCTCTCCAGGATGTCAAAACTCTTCCATCTTTCCTCCCCTCTCATCTTCAGCTCTCCTCCTCCTCCTCCTCTGTCGCTAACCCCATAACTCCCCAGGAGCTGCAGCAATTTCGCCGCTTCCAGAGCCGCAGCTGCAGCATCTGCATAGCAGCAGCAGCAGCAGCTTGGCTTTAGCACCGCCGCCATGGCTGCCACAGCCACACCAGGTCCTCCTGGCTTTCCCCTCAAGGGCTCTACTTCCCCTAGTGCTCCCACCTCCCACTCCAGCTTTCTAGGCGAGCTCATGCGTTCTTCCCCTGCTTCCACTTCCATGTATCCCTCTGTTTTTAATGCCAGTGATTTCCAGTACCCCATGTCTTCAGCTCCCTCCTCACTCACGATAGACTTTGTTCTCGATAGTGGTGCCACTGAAACTGCCCTCAAAGACGCCTGCACCCTCACCTCCCTCCCTTTCCCCACCAACATTCATGGCGCTGATTCCAGCTTCTGCACTCATCTCTCCACCCTCCCCTGCCCCCCCTTCCCCTCCGGAGTGGTCACTGGTCTCCACATTCCCTCCCTTCGTCATAACCTGCTCTCCATCGGTGAACTCCAACAGGCTGGCATCACTACCCTCTTCCCCGCCTCTGCCACCTACTATGACCTCCTTCACGGCCCCACTCGTCGCCTCCTTCATCGCCTCCCACTTTGCCCTCGCTCTCATCAGTACATCCTCAGCACACCGCGCCCCTCCTCATGCCACGTGACCACTCGTGCAGGCACCTCCACTCTCCCCTCTCCCCTCCCTCTAGATCCACCTTCCTCCAACTCCACCTCCCCCCCATGCTCTTGTCGCGCACTGTCCCACCCCGCTGTTCTCATCCACCATCGCCTTGGTCATATGAACTTTTCCACACTTCGTAAAGCCGTCTCCTCCCGCTTGCTTGACGGTCTTTCCCCCACTCTTCCTCCCCTCCCGTCCTCTTCCGCTGCCCCATGCGTCACATGCATTCATGGAAAGCTCAAACAACAACCTCACCTCAGTCATCCTTCCTTTGCTGCTGCCCCCCTTGACCTCGTCCTCATGGACCTCTGGGGCCCTAACCCTTCCCCTTCCCTCCAAGGGCACCGGTACATGCTTGTCCTAGTCGACAACCACAGCAGGTACTCCTCGGTGTTCCTTCTCCACACAAAGGCTGAGGCCCCTGCTGTCATCGTTACCTGGGCCGAGCAGTGCCGTGTCCACTTTGGTCGCCCCATCCGCCGCCTCCATTCCGACGGCGGTGGTGAGTTTCACAACCGCACCCTCTCCTCCTACTACTCAACCCATGGCATCCAGTAGACTCATACCCTTCCCCACTCCCCTCAGCAGAACGGTGTTGCTTAGAGTCGCATTCGTGAGATCACCAAGACGGTCCGCTGCCTCCTCACTCATGCCTCCACGCCCCCTTCTCTTTGGGGCTATGCCTTTGTCCATGCTGCTCTCCTCACTGATCTTTACCCACATCCTCAACGCCAGTCTGTCACTCCCACAGAGCTCTCGGCTAGCACCAAGCCAGATGCTGCCATTCTCCGTATCTGGGGTTGCAAGGCATATGTCCTCATCCCCCCACCTGACCGCTCTAGGCAGGCAGGCATCCTCATCGCCATTGAGTGTGTCTACCTTGGCCACGCTCGCTCTGCCCCTGGTTACCTCTTCCTTCACCCGTCCTCAGGCTGCCTCCTACAGAGCCGTGACGTGGTGTTCGATGAGAGCATCCCGTTCTATCATTCTGTTCCGCTTTCCGACCCACTTCCTCCTCTCTCCCGCCCCCTCACCTGGGCTGATGCTGTCATTCCCCCACTCCTTCCCTAGGCTCCCCTCCTTCCTCCAAATCCTGCTCCTCCCCCTCCTCCTTCCTAAGGTGACATTTACGACCCAGCTGTCCCTAACTCCCCTGCTCACTCCGCCTCATCGCACCAGCACCACCAGCAGCAGCAGCAGCTGCAGCAGGTGCAGCAGCAGCAGCGGATGGAGCAGCAGCAGCAGCAGTAGGAGCAGCAGCAGCAGCAGCAGATGGAGCAGCAGCAGCAGCGGATGGAGCAGCAGCAGCAGCAGCAATCTCAGGCTGTGCAGCAACAGCAGCCGCAGCAGGTGGTGCAGCATCAGCAGCAGCTGGAGAAGGAGCAGCAGCAGCAGCAGCAACAACCACAGCAGCAACCTCATCGGCATCGCTGCAGCACCTCTCCGTTCATCCTCCCACGCATCCATTCTCACTCTCATGGCCCACTCATAGGCCATCTATGGGGTTGGCCAACGCCACCCCCACCCTCCCTTCCCTTCGTTGATGACTCCCATGAGGAGCTCATTGGCGTTCATCAACAAACACCTTCCCTCACGCCTCTCTACCCGGGCTTCCTTGGCCTCCTCATCCTTGGCATCGCTACCGCTCCCACCATATTCACCCCATCCAACTTCCTTGAGGCCATCACCTGCCCCGATGCTGCCAAGTGGATCCAGGCTATCTTTGCTGAATGCGAGGCCTTCATCCGCAATGCCTCATTCATTGACATTGTCCCCTCTCCTGACGACGTCATTGTTGAAGGCCTGTGGGTGTTCCGAGTGAAGCAGTTGCCGGGTGAGAAGCCGGTCTAGAAGGCCCGGTATTGTGCCAAGGGCTTCACCCAGACCCATGGCATCGACTACTGGGAGACATTCTCTCCCACTACCAAGCTCCCAACTCTCCGTGCCATCCTCGACTATGCTGTTCGCATTGGCATGGAGATTGCCTCCATGGATGTCTCCAACGCCTTCCTGCAAGGCGATCTCCAGGAGCGGGTCCTCTTGCGGCGGCCTCCAGGCTTTCATGCAGCCTTCCCTCCCAACACAGTCTGGGAGCTGCGCCGCCCGGTTTATGGCCTCAAGCAGGCTCCTCGCGAGTGGCACAACAAGCTGGCCGCCACTCTGCAGTCCTTGGGGTTCCATGCCTCTGAGTCTGATGCCAGCCTTTTCCTTCGCTCCTCTCCCACCCGCTTCTTCATCCTGGTGTACGTCGACGACATGATCCTGTTCGCTGATGATGCTGCCGCCATGCAGCAAGTGAAGGACGCCCTGCATGCTCGCCTCAAGTGCAAGGACCTGGGTGAGCTCAAGCACTATCTGGGCATGACCATCACCCGGGACCGTGCATCACGCACCATTACCCTCTCTCAGTCATTCTACATCGACCAAGTCTTGCAGCGGTTCGACATGGCGCAGGCCAAGCCGGTTACCACTCCCCTGCAGACTGACCACCAGCTTGCCCCTCCTCCTGCTCCCTCCTCCTCTGACCATCCTTAGGCTGAGCTCGTCGGTTCGCTGATGTACGCTATGATGTGCACCTGCCCTGACCTTGCCTACCCCATCAGCGTTCTTGCTCGCTTCGTCGGTACCGGTCGTCACACTAATGAGCACTGGGCTGCAGCAAAGCGGGTACTCCGCTACCTCCGTGGTACCAAAGACTATGTCCTCACCCTCGGAGGCTCTTCTCCTCCCCTCCTCTCTGGCTTCAGTGACTCTTCCTGGGCAGACTCCCAGCCGGATCGCCGCTCCTCTCAAGGCTACGGCTTCACCCTTGGCAGCGGCCTCATCAGCTGGCGCTCCACACGCTCCTCCTCCATCGCCCTCTCATCCTGCGAGGCTGAGCTCTATGCTTGCACCATGGCCGCTCAGGAGGCTCGCTGGCTCACCTTTCTCCTTGCTGAGATCGGTGCTCCTCAGCGCTGTCCCACTCTCTGGTGCGACAACGCCAGCACCATCCATCTCACAAAGGACCCTGTCTTCCATGGCCGCTCCAAGCACATTGAACTCCGCTACTTCTTCGTTCGGGAGTTGGTCCAGCATGGTCACTTGGTGGTCCGCAAGATTGCTGCAGAGGCCAACTTGGCGGACATCTTCACCAAGGCCCTCCCGAAGACCGCGCACTCTGCCCTCCTCCGCCTTCTCGGCCTTGGGCCCCGCCCCCCTTCTTGATTCTGGGGTTGTACCCTAGATATACACTAGCTTTGCATGCTATGGGGCTGTGTTAGAATATACCATGCTGTGCTAGTTTTGTATATTGTGTTTACATCCCTAGTTGGGTGTACACCTGTGTTGGGGTATCAATCTAACCCAATTGTGGTTGGAGCCCCCAAACACAAGGACCACAATTGTGGTGAACCATATTGGGAAGGATCCTCCCTCCCTTGTGATTGGTCCTAACCCCTCCTTCCCTTCCAACCTTCCCTTCCTAGCCCATCTCTCTCTTCCTATGTAATCCCTTTGCTTGATCAAGAAACTCAACATTTCTGTTTCTAACAATTTGCACCCTTCCCCCACAATTCCCCCCCTGACTGCAGACTCACTAGAGGGTGCTCCCCTAGACTCGTCCAGGGAGGTTTCTTCAGGTTCATGCCCACCCTACCCTTGTCGTGTACCTATTCAACCTCTCCTCCTCTATCTTCTCTCCGCATCTCTCACATGCTGCCCGTCATGCTGTTGGCGTCTGCCTCCTCTTCTCTGTCTCACCTGCCATTCCTGCTCCAGGCGTTGGCAGTAGGGAAGCAATGTAACAAGCATTGGAGTGGGAGGGCCCTCTGTTAGAAACCGGTTTGCGAGTGTGTGAGAGTCGAAGGGGATACCAGGTACATCACACCTATACCCTTGTCTCCTCCCTCTCTCCTTACCCCGCAGAATCCTAATCACATGCTTTTGAGACTTGAAAGCATATTCTTTAGTTTCTTCCTGTTTCATGCTTGTACATCTCTCCTTTCTCCAAACTGGCTTTTCCCATTCTCTCTTTCCCCCAACCACACGCTTTTGAGTTGAAGGAAGTGCACTTCTGCGTACAGCACTCTTGTTTTGAGGCACCCCAACTCCCAACCACCTGCTCTGCAAGCTTGTCATTTCCTCCCACCCACTGCCGCTCCAAGACGGACAGGCAGAGTGTATGAACTCCTTCCGTTGATGTTAATGAAACATGTCCCTTGTAGGGCCTACCACCTCTTTTGTGCCGTGGGTTCCGTACCTACACAGCTCGTTTGTTCCATTGTTTAGCTTGTGCAGCCGAGGGGACTACAGAATCACCAGCACCATCAACATCAACATCGCCATCGCCATCACCATCACCAGTCCCATCACCAGCACCATCACCAGCACCAGCACCATCACCATCACAAGCACCATCACCATCACCAGCACCATCACCATCAGCACCATCACTTTCACCATCACCATCACCATCCCAGTATCCCCTTCCTGACTCACAGGAGTTCTCACTTCGCGGCACGGCTGTTGAAGAACCTCCCGCAGTAGCCGCAGTGCTGTCGGCACGTGAGCCAAGCTGAGAAAGGGCGAGCAGGCCAGTGGCTGTGGCACAGGGAGCACCACTCGTCCTAATATTCAAACCATTCCTGACTGTAGCACAGGTAGTGGCAGCAGCTGTAGCGCCAGTTGCAGCAGCAGGAATCGTAAAGAGAGTGGTCACGCCAGCTGCAAGAGAACGAATGGCAGCAGCAGCAGCAGCGGCATTGCCAGCAGAAGCAACTGCAGCACCAGGGATTGTAGAGAGAGTGGTAATGCGACCTGCAGCAGTAGGAGTTGCACCGGCATCATCAGTGCGAGTAGCAATGGAAGCAGTGGCGGCGAATTGCATGTGCAGCAGCCGCACGAGCAGCAGTGGATGTGTCACGATGGGTTGGAGGCTGAGAAAAGAGTACAATTCAAGTGGAGTGAAGAGGCAAAGGCAAGCATCTGGACACCATCTCTCCCTCTCTCGCATCACCGCTCGCCGCACACCCGGACACCATTCAGGAGCTTGCCGCTTGCCTTGATCTTGTTGCTTTCCATGGAAGTCAGCATGTGCTCAAGGATCTCAAGATCGAACCCGTCCGTTGCTGCATGAAAATGCCAGTCCGTGTCGCTTGCTCGGGTATTTCACTTACTACGCAAGTTTTATTCCTATGTGCTTACCCCGTTATCAAGGAAGTGCGTAAGTTTTTGGATTTATTTCCTCCATGCCACGTGTGCCACAAGGCACGATCCGACGCCAGTGCTGACCTGCCCCGGGAAGAGCGCTCTCACCCCTGCAGCACTTCCCCAGCCTACCAAGAATTATGGTTCTGGGCCAGCAGGATTGGATTCTCAGCCTGGAACAATAGGATTGGATTCGCAGCATGGGCGAGCAGGATTGGATTCTCAGCCTTGGACAGTAGGATTGGATTCTTAGCCTGGGCCAGCAGGATTGGATTCTAGCGCATGCTGAAGCAGTGGAACATACACTACTCTAAACAAGTTAACCTCAACGACTTCACCGATCTTTATTAGCTGTTATCGCAAATGATGGTACGTATTCATCATAAGCTTTAAAACATATCATCTAAAACGTATCTACACAGGCTTACATGCACCAGCAGGGTGTGTAAGAAATAGAGCTGAATTGATTGATTAGGCAAGGCTCTATAAGTACATGGCAAAATGAGAGACAATGGATGAAGGGGGGAATCAGAGAGAATACCCATTGGGATCTTCAGAATCTCCAATTGGGTAATTGCAGATTGGGGGGATCACAATTGGGTGAGGTTGCGATTTTGTGAGTACATCCCAACCCACTAGAAGATTCCTAACCTAAACTAGGATATAAAAGTACAAATACAAAAGTGGGATTTGCAATCTTTTTCTAACACACCCCCATGGGCTACAAACCCAGTCAAGGATCACATAGCCCCATGGAACGGAGAAGGCGATGGTGGTCAGCCTTGCCGAGAGCCCCACCATAGCCCCAATATTTGCCTATATTTCAAGCCTCTCGGTGTGTGGTGCACTCATTTATTTATGAGCATATGAGTCATCATTGCTTGTTGCGGTCGGAGAGTGGAACAGAGTACATGACTAGCAATATGTCAACGAAGAGCACCAATGGGTTAGAGTTATCAGGCAACACTACAACACCAGTTGACCTGTTAACCGAATCAAACACTATCAAATCTACCCCATCTTAAGAGATATAACAGATATTAGCAACAATGCCGAATGATCTTCAGATGATAAAAGTATAGAAATATGACATCTGATGGTATTAGAGAGGCTGCATCTCAACAATCCATGGATGCTCCTATTAGCTTATCAATGGACAACGCTATTATTGCTGCTATGAGAATAGTCGCAGAATGGGTACAGTGATTGAAAAACATATTATTAGTTTACAAGATAATTTTATCGATCGCCATTCAAAAATACACCTAGTAAGGAACGAGTCATGCCATTCTGTTGAATATCGCAAGGCTTTCTCGATAGGTGTTTCTGGTGTATTGAGTTCAATGGAGCAACCTGTTGATGCTGATCACTCCAATTCAACAACGTTGATTGTGCTTCAGGTGCAAACTATCACCCGGCTGCTTGCAACCCAATGTTAGTACAAATTTATTGAACAGAAGCCATTGAGTTTTTATGGATATAAAGAAGGAAAGCGGAAGCTACCAATGATGAGGAAGGCCAGAAAGTGTTTAGTGTAAGAAATAGAGCTGAAATGATTGATAAGGTAAGGAGCCCAAGGCTCTTTAAGTACATGGCAAGGCAAAGACGAATGGATGAAGGGGGCATCGGAGGGAATCCCCATTGGGATCTCCGGAATCTCCAATTGGGTAATTAGAGATTGGGGGGATCACAATTGGGTGAGGTTGGGATTTTGTGAGTACACCCCAACCCACTAGAACATTCCTAACCTAAACTAGGATATAAAAGTACAAATACAAAAGTGGGATTTGCAATCTATTTCTAACACACCCCCATAGACTGCAAACCCGGTCAAGGAGAACATAGCCCCATTGAACGAAGAAGGCGATGGTGGTCAGCCTTGCCAAGAGCCTTGGTAAAGAGGTCGGCGAGGTTGCAATCTGAGGCGATGTACCGTACCATCAGCAGTCCACTCTGAACAAGATCTCGGATGAAGAAATGATGAAGTTCGATGTGCTTGGTGCGAGAGTGGAACACAGGATCCTTGGTGAGGTGAATGGCGCTCTGGTTGTCACACCATAGGGTGGGCGACTGCTGGGGGTAGCCTAACTCAGCAAGGAGAAAGGAGAGCTAGCGTGCCTCTTGAGCAGCCATTGTGCCTGCGTAGAGCTCGGCCTCGTAGGACGACAGGGAGACTGCAGAGGACCGAGTGGAACGCCAGCTGATGACTCCGCTACCAAGAGTGAAGCACTACCCTTGGGAGGAGCGTCTGTCAGTCTGGTCATCGGCCCATGAGGAATCAGTGTATCCCTCGAGCTTGACTGGAGAGGTACCACCAAGAGTGAGGATGTGAGACTTGGTGGCTTGTAGATAGCGGAGGACCCTCTTGGCTGCAGACCAATGCGAGGCAGTGTAGCGTCCGGGGGAGACATACCGAGAGAGGACACTAACCGTGTAAGCCAAGTCAAGTCGAGTGCACATCATGGCATACATGAGTGAACCGACTAGCTCAGGGTACGGGTCCTTGCAGGTGTCAGGAGAAGGAATCGGAGGGGCCGTGAGCTGATGCTGTAGTGGGAGAGGAGTCGAGACAGAGTTACTGGAGTCCATGTCGAACCACTTGAGAAGGTTGTCGATGTAGGACTCCTGGAAGAGGGTGATCGTGCAAGTCTGGTGGTCACGAGTGATCTCCATCCCCAGGTAGTTCTTGGGGTCACCAAGATCCTTCATGAGAAGGGCAGAGCTGAGAGCAGACTGGACAGCTGCCATGTCGGCTGGATCTCTGGCGGCTAGAATGAAGTCATCGACGTAGAGGAGGATGTAGAAGGGCTCGGAGGAGTGACGAATGAAAAGACTGGAATCTGAGGCGGAGGGATGAAATTCAAGTACGAGGAGGACTTCCTTCACCTTGTTGTGCCACTCACGAGGAGCCTGCTTGAGGCCATTCACTGGGCGCTTCAGCTTCCACACTGTGTTGGCAGGGTAAGTGCCACGAAACCCCGATGGGCGTTCCATGTGAACAATCCTCCTTGAGCTGGCCTTGGAGAAAAGCGGAGGCGTCCATGGACTTGATCTCGAAGTTGCCGCGAGCGGCTATATCAAGAAGAGCGCGCACAGTCAGCAGCTTGGCTGTGGGCGAGAATGTTTCGAAGAAGTCGAGATACTCCTTCTGGGTGAAACCCTTTGCCACGTATCGTGCCTTGAACAGTGGAGCTTTGCCTGGGAGTTGTTTGACTCAGAAGATCCATTTTCTGCCGACGATGTTAACACCGGAAGGGGGAACGGCATCGTCAAAGCTGTTGTTGCGAATGGACGCCTCGTTCTCCACATCCATTGCTGCCTTCCACTCCTTCTTCTAAGGCCCCGAGAGATCATCCTCTTTTGTGCGAGGAGTCGGAATGGTCTGGTTCTCGGTAAAGTTGACGGACAGGCAGTCAGTAATGTCCAGGAAGATGTGAGAGAGAAATTGGCAGACCGCGTGAAGGTCAAACAGCTCCTCATGCCTGTCCTCCAGAAGTGCACGGGGGGGAATACGGATGGAGGGGACATCACCCCCGGCAGGAGGAGACGGGGTGACCGAACACCGGATGGAGAAGGCGGCTGGTCCCCAGGCGAGAGGCGAATCCGATCCCTTGGAACGAGAACAACTAGAGACCGGAGACGAAGGCGGCTGCGGTGGGACCGGAGGGACTGGGCGCTTCCGGTTGGAGACTGGTGAGCCGGGGAAGAGGTGCGGGGAAGGCGGAGGATACCGGGGAGGCCGGGTGAGACACGCCGGACGGAGAAGGCCCCGGAGAAGGGGCAGCGGCCGAGGGTGGGGCATCGAAGTCTGCCCATACAAGCGTCGGGGGAGGTAGAGGGGGCTCGCCCGTGGTCGCAGAGTGGAACGGATGTGTCTCATCGAATACGGCATCACGGCTGCGAATCAGCTGCCTGGTGAGAGGATAAGTAGTCAGGGGAGTCAGAGTTGTGCCCCAGGTAGATGCAGGTTTGGATTTTGGGACCAAGCTTGCCACCTTGCTTCCTGCGCGTCTGGGAGCTGAGCACTCATACGGTGTACACCCCCAGATGCTTAGAGAGCGGGCGGAAGGCGTGACCCCAAGCCAGAGAATGGTAGGTGTGGTGTCGGGCCGGTGGGGATGCGGATAAAGATTGTAGAGGAATAGCGCATGGAAAAGGGCATATCTCCAGACTGACTGTGCTGCGTTTTCATGACTGAGGAGGCAGAGAGCGATCTGAACCAAGGTGTGGTTGCGGCTCTCTGCAATGCCGTTTTGCTCTGGGCTTTCAGGGAGCGTGAACGTTTGCCGAATCCCGTGGGCAATGTA